GCGTTGTTTGGTGGGGGAGGGGTGTTAATTTTGAATATTACCACGTATCACCAAGGAGAAGGGGGGTCCAAAAATTCTTAAAAAGTCGATCAAGTGAGTAATGGACGCCGCCAAAGTTCTTTTGCTTCCTAGTAGTTTCAAATCTTTTATTTTTCTTTGAAGTCATCTTTAAGCAGACACAAAGAAGTCATTGTAAAATGGTTTTCACCACTTCTTGGATTTATGTGCTTCTTTTCCTTACCTATCTCCATTTTATTCTGGCAATTCCTTCCAGCTTCTTGTCTATAGCTATCTTTTTCCTAAAAGGAATCCCAATTGATAAATACAGGCAAATTTATTCCCAGCACGTACCTCAGAATCGAGTCCGCCATCTGTCTACTATTTCACGCCGTTGCATAAGCAAAAGTTTTTGGCGCCGTTAAAGACTACAAATTTTATTTCCCTGGAATTTCACAATATTTCTTTTTAAATGGATTTAGATTTGTATTTAAATGTTCTTTGCAATTAATTTCCAAACGAAATTAATAAAATTAAAGACTAAATAAAATTAGGGTAATGGCTGGCAAACTACCAATTAATTAGATATCATGAATTTTTAGTATATATTTAAAATGTAATTAAATGTGGAAATAACAAATAAAAAATCTTTAAGATATTATTGATAATAAACCATTAATTGATTAATAACTCTTGATTAATTCATTTATAATATTGTATTTTTCTGGCATACCTTAGTAGCCCTTTGGCAATAATAAGTCCGACATTACTTGATTTATTTAATTTTCTTTAGCATTTAAATATTTTTTAAGTGAATTCAAATTTGAAGATTTATCAAAGTAAATAATATGAAATAGGGTGGTCCTTAATATGAAAAATGCTTGCAAAATGATACAAAAACTCTGACAATTTTAGCTCTTAATATTAACTTCAAAATATTGCGCACTCCAACTAAAGTTTCTTATGGAACTAACAAATAATTTTATTTGTTTTTTTAGAACCCTATAACTTAGCGACAAGTAAATCAAAATTTAGAAAATAACATTGTATTTGCTTATTTTAATCATAAATAAAAAAAATTACAACAAAAATGTCATATATCTTATAAAATAAGTAATTACTTTGGAAGAAGATGCAAGATGGTTTGGTTGGAGTATTGAAAATAAAATTATTTATTTAAAATCTTCATTCATACAATTATACAATTCACTTTTCTTTAATTAAAATAAGCAGAGAAAGAAACAATGTATCTGACAACGTAATAAGCTGATGTCGATCTTACGGTACTGGCACAAAAATACATAAATAATTGTATCTATTTATTTTCCTGATAATTGTATAATAAGATTATTATGAATTCATTTTAAAATAATTTTCTTCTTGTGTAATATACATACTTCAATTAATTGAACATGTGATAATAGTTAGTGCGTACTGCGTACCTCAATTGAATTGGTTAGTGATAAACTTTTCGTCATTCAAATTTTATTTTGTATTTTTGTATACTGTTACGCAACTGCGTAAAAGGCTACCTATAGTGCAAAAGCATTTAAAAATATGATTGGTATTGATCGTCGAAACTTTTTTTTATTTAACAAAAACTTTTGCGCGATACTGCAGTGCCAACAGTAAATAAAATAAAAATGTACAAAAAGCTGAGTGATATTTACTGTTTACCATGCCAACGGAAATAAAATGCGACATTTTCAAATGAACAGAATCGCGACATTTTCAAACAAACAGAGAAATGCCACGTATATTTTTTCTGGGTATGTGAAATTTGTTTTGCATTAATAAATTTAAATTTTTAATGATCTTTTCCCATCAAGATATTTTACCACATACTTAGTTGTATATTTTTAACTTCCCGAATGAGAAGTTCATGTTTCTGCCAGAAAATCCAATTTGCTAAATCTATGTTTTCGCAATTCGAGCTAAAATTTGACCTTCTGTTGAAGTTATCTAAAAACGTAGGCTGCTCCGATTTCAGACATTTAAATGCCAATTGAAGAAACTTGAAAAGGGCTCGATTGATTAGTTTTGCGAGACTATTGTCCATTTTTTTAAAGTTGTAAGAAATGTGCAAATGTTTCTGTCCACGATTCGGAGCTGATTTTGAAAATCTAAAAACGTCTAATCAGGAATTCAATCAATCAATTTCTTTAGAGTTGAAATAGGTGTTTAAATATTTCGTCAAACAGAAAATCTAAAACTGTTCAATTGGGAATTCAATCTATTGGGAGTTGATTAGTTTGGTAAAGATCGGTAACATTTTTTCCTCGTAATTTCTATCCAAATAGTACATGTATACTTTTTGTACTAAAATATATAAAAAAGTATCATTATTTCTTATATCAATTACAATTCAATTCATGATTATATCAGGATTTTTTTGTGTGTCTGCGTTCTTTATATTATCGAACAAATGATCAAATTCTCTGATCAAAGGACATGAAGACAATGTAATATTTTTAATGAAAATTTTGAAGTCAATTAAAAATATATTGTATATCGTCGCCGAAGACTTACTGATGTACTGATGTGTTCATTCGTTACTTTGGAATGGGCGAAGAAAAAATATCCTAAAATTAAGAAAACTAAATATGTTTAATTATCTCTCCTCAGCGTTATAGTAATTGCAAAACAACATAGAGGAAAATTTTTGCATATCTCTACGTTTCATAACATTATCAACATTTTGCTATACTTGAGTAAAAATGTATGCATGTGTATGTGAGTACGTATATGCGGACACAAATTTCTGTCAACGATTCGCGATCACAGAGCAACCGATTTGAATGATTCAAAAAACATTGAATTCTTATTGACGATGTGCTGATTGGTTTTTGACAAAGGCAAGTCTGGCGATTTCAGAGATACGTATGTTTAATGGGTTGAAGTTAAATTAATTTCAAGTAACATAGACTGCACCAGTCAAATTTGAAGAACTACAGAAGCATTTAATGATTTAGTTGCTACGTTGTATATTGAAAAAAAGATATTATTTCAAAATAATTGGTCTAATCCGAACCTTACATGATAACACTTCTAACAGAATATTAGTAATTACAAAATATTTTTCATATGTTACACAAATAATAATACAGTCTCCTATGATAATATTAATCTCCATGTATTTAAATTAAGTACACCTACTCGGTCTGAAAAGCCTCAAAACGTCTTTTGTTTTCTTTTTAGTAAATTTACGTATTTAGGAAGTTTTTCCTTTCATCTTTCCTTCAGCCTGAACGAAACGCGTCTGCTCGGTTATGAAAAATGATATTTTAATGTATTCTTTTCAGCCTCATCCATAAACGTGCTTTTCGGCGTCTGCATTTTACAAAGTTATTCTAAGCTCTCGAGTTTTTGTTAGATCTTATCTAAAAATATTATATGTCTATGATTTTTATCGCAGACACAATTTGCTACTAGACACAAGATCGTTGTACTAGCTCTAGTCTGTTTTGATAGAAAATGTATTCATGTTGCCGTCGGATATGGTAATTTTTATAGAGCGAATTTGTATAGACGGCATTAGTTTGATATTCATTCTATTTTATCATCCATAAATAATAATGATTTGTCATTTAAATGAATTATACATTGAATTAATCGCCCATTGAGTTTTTTATACAATTTATGCAGTATCGAAATAACTCTGGACTGCAGAATAATAAATTAATTGAGCACTCATCAATTCATATTTACTATTAAAACTTTGTATGTGTTCAATACGGAATTTACATTAAAAATCATGTTTCTCATTCATATATAATAATGTATACTTAGTATTTGTACTTTATTATCTCTGTATGTAAATTGAACTACAATAACAATTAAAATGATATATGATTTTATAAAACGATATTCAGAAAATAAAGATTAACTACCAAACGGTACTACAAAATAGTTCAATTTAACCATTTATATTTAAAAATGAATTCACTGGTTTTGTTTTATAGCAGTTTTAATAAACTAGAAGTGGATTTTGTTCCATTCATATATAAATTTTTGTGATGATTTTGTAGTTTTTGTATTTGTTATTTGAACGGAAATATTTGAATAAATCTATAAAAAGTGACGATAAATGGTAATGAAAAATATTAAAATTTATAAAATAAAACAAATATAAAAAAAAATTAAAAATTAAAACATGAGATAAAAATAAGTAGGTGCAAGTAAAATTTTGCCTCAAGGCAAGTTGTAAAAATGTCTTTATATATGCATATAATAGATCTAATGAGAATTAAGATTTAGCAACTTTTAGAATTGATATGATAGTATTTACAAATTTGACACAATCCATTATCAATAATTATGATGAATTATTAATTTCACATTTTATTATCATACCAAAGTTTCGTTTCGTCAAAAAATCTCAATTGATTTCGAAAAAACCTGACCGATCATTACCAAAAACATATGAGTACGATTTCCAAGTGATCGTTTTGATCGTTTTTTTTACTTAATTTTCAAAATAAGTTCAGGGCTTGGCGAAATCGTGGATCAAACCCATTTCTTAGGGAAAAAAAAAATGCTGCAGAAATATTTATATTAGATGCATACACACAAATACTTAATTGAGTTGAAACGCCAATTTAAATTTGTATATTTACACATAAAACTATATAAATCATACAATATACACTTAAAATCAATCATTGATATTAATTATTAGGAAATATTAACAAGAATACGAAGGCATATTCTTCAAAATAAAAAATCTTTGCCGCACAAGATATTTTCACAATTGAAATGTTACTCAACAAGCAAATTATTCAGAGCTAGAGTTGGAATAGAAACATAAGAGTTACATAATATGAAGTCTGGAGTTCCACAAGGGAGTGTTTTAGCGCCACTTTTGTATCTCATAAGAACACACGACATAGCGAGATCAACTAATATTTTTAAATTGGTGCTTGACACGCGCCAATTTAGAATTGTCTGATTTTTATTAAGTATTGATTAGGAATAATTTAATTAATATTTTTCTTTCTTTTCAGTCGTTACAAGCGAAATTGTCGTTCAGTTCGAAAGAAATCGTGGCCTTAAGTTGTTCCTGGTGCAAAGCAGCGTATCACAATAAGGAGAGTTGCTTCAACATCCAAAGGATAGGCGAGGAATGCTCATTAGGTGAGTTGCAGAATTATTTCCTTGTTAGACAAAACGCAACGTTGACGGTTCTAATTTAATTAAAACGACGTTCTATTTTCATTTACCCCGAATAAGAGATCGTATCAATCTTACTGTTTATAAGTTTGCGACTTGATTAAAAATACGCGGAGTCGACTCGTTAAGATTACATGGAATCAGACTGCTGCAAAGATAGGGTTGACAGATCTGGAATGACTAAAACATTCAGGCAATCATGAGAAAAATTAGGCTATTTGTTAATAATTTACACTATGAGAAATATAATCATTAATAAACGAATTTTGCCGGTTCTTGTATGATAAATTTAGATTGAACATTGTATATTTGTTATTTGCTTTTTATTATTTTTTATATTTGTGATTTTTCTGTGATGACAGTTTAATATCGTCATTGTTGTATGGATCAAAATTTGAATAATCTCTAAAAATCTGAGTGGCAGGATTGAATTTGCTATTTTATAATGCTGAAATTGTACCAACGACTAGCATAATGAAAAAAGATAAGTTTTATCAGTTTACATTATTGTTTACTTGTTTGTCTGGGCAAAAGTTCAATTGTTTCTCTTCACCCCGGGCACATGTTTGTTCTACATCTTTTTTCCTCTACTTTCAAATATTGTTATTGAAAAAATCGTAACTTTATTTGGTTTTATTCGCTCTACCCTATATGATAATAATAATTTTATTTATGGTTTATTACAAAATTTTCACTATGAAACTAGTTTTCCATGTCTTGTATGTTTTGATTGTTGACATAGAGTTTATCTTAATTTATACTATAAATATTTTTTATGGAATAATTAGTTCTCGACAAGACAAATGATTATTTTTGTTGATAGTTACGTATTTATCGAATGAAAATTTCTGTAAAATATATTGAAATTATTAACCTTATACCTTATTGTCAAGAAAAAAAATCGAATTTCTTAAAATTATAAGTGTAACTCAGTAGTCTTACTCACTTCAGCGTTCTATAACATGGACTATAATACATATGTCAGTTTGGGTTACATTCTAATATTTTGTATATGATTTCTTGTTTTCTAAATACATTTTTTACTGATTTTATTTCTAGATTATGAATTGTTTTTGAATTATGGATTGTTTTGTTTGAGAGACGATTGTTTTGTTTGATCATAAACAACAATAGCACAAATATTTTCCTAAAATCGTATTTATAACCATAATAATCTTTATTATACAAATTCCTCACTCGAATCTTTAACAAATTATTTGCTCGAAATACAGATTATCTCGAGTAGAAATCAAAGCATTCACATTCCATGAATCAGATTTGATTATCAACGTTTGAATCAAGCGAATTAAAATATTTGGTCTTCTCCTTAATCAAACGTTATTTGAACAGAGAACATCACACGAATATTAAATCATCTCCTATGGTTCCTTTGTTTGATTTAAAACTCAAAGTAACTGAAACTGGGTAATATATATATATATATATATATATATATATATATTTATATATTTATATATATATATATATATATATATATAAATTTATAATATTTTTCTTATTACTTTCTTGTTTTTCCTTCTGGCTTTAAAAATTAATTCACATACTAACTTATGAATAATTTTGTTCCCAGGTAACCACCAGGGAATCATAGTGCCTCCTTCATGGATCGTCAAGTTGCCGAGACGCGGGAGTTTTAAATCATCTTTAAGGAAAACGCCGAAGAAAAAATCGTCGAGCAAGAAAAGGTCCAAGGTAAATATTTTCTGTACATATTTAATTATTTATTTTACTGCATCGAAATGATCCTGTTTATATGTGTTGAATTGATATGTTTATCTTGTTGTGCGATAAAATATAATTCCATCTATTTCTAACATATATAACAAGTAAGTATAATCAAATATGTACCATGACATAATTTTGGGTATAGATTTCAGGGATAAAACTATCAACTATGGCAAATGCATATTCATAATTATATGAGAGTGAATATATGAATTGCACCATTTAAATTTTGATAAAGCTTTAAAAGACATATTGAAAATCATGATTGTAATTTGAATATTGAATCAGATCTTTTAAAAAAATGAAATAAAAATTTTTGTTTTTCATAGATTGAACATCACCAACAAATGACCTTTATGAATGAATTAACCTTTTAGCTGTATATTTGATAAATATGAAAATGATCAATTTATTTACATAATTCTTTTCCTAGATCTGAAAATACTATATAAAAACTTTGCTCAAGCTTTTGATAAGGTGATGAATTTATGGAACATGATCAAATATTTTCCTTTAATCCTGTACATTTCAAAGAAAACATGGAATTTAACATCGTACATGACTTCAGACGTGGGAGATGCAATATTTGCTTTATACAACGTATTAAATTGTACCAACAAATCAAAATGCTATGAATTACAATTTCGAATAAGAGATACATACATGCTTCAAAAATTATATTCTGGTTATTAATTCATCCTGAGCCGATTTCAAAGTATCGCCTGTTTTGAATGAGTAGCTAATTGCTGTAAGCGTATATTATTAATCATCACAAAAATTATATAAATGGCCCTAAAATTAATCTATAGATTAATCTACTTCCGACCTTCGCAGAATTATCTGCGTCGCCACTAATACGTATTATTTCGTTTCGTCGGGTGCTTTTCTCATAACCGCAGCTACTGCTCCCAATGATCCTTTCTATACTACTTCGAAAGGATATAGTATTCTCATAACAAGGAATTTTCAAGTGTAATCCCTTATTTATGAACCCTAAATCCTCGAAGACCTTCTTGAATGAGGATTGAAACTGTCTCGAGGACATAAAACAGAAACATCAGTGTTTCGATTTGAGTGTAATAACGGTAAATAAATGCAAATAGTATTTTTATATATAAATATCAGTAATTTGTTATATATATATATATATATATATTAGAGTGGTTTTAATAGAAACTGAAAATAACTTATTATATATGAATATTTAGATTTATCCCACACAAGATAAGACTCATTTACAAAATTTATATGACATTAAGCTCAACAATCGAAATATGATATTTTAACACAATTTTTCACAAAAATTATTCATAATAATATAACAAATTGCTTTAAACATTATAATATAATGCTCCAGGTTTGAAATTGATTGATCTCTTGAGATTTTTTGGTAAGAGTTTTAAAAGTGTGATTTACCATGGCCTACAATATTCTAGAATTTTGAGTTGTAAAACCCTCTGAAAATTGAAAAGCAATTTAGTCAATATGATTTTTTTATGATATGCATAACAGATTATTTCCTAATTAGAAATAAAACTGTTTTTGTTTAGGCTTTAATTTGTATTTAAAATAATTAATTACTAGTAGAATTTGGGAGCAGCATTTGAAGTCAGGTAATATTACAGAATTTAATAGTAATTTTACAATCTTATATCAAAAAGTTTTTCAAAAACTCAAATTTTTGCTTGCAATTTTTCAACCTACTTTATAAAACTATGAGTATTGGTAAATATAATATAAATAATAAACATCTACATCCTATAAAAAATCTCAGTCTAAATTATACCCGAATATACCCTTCTATTTTTATATATCTATATTTATACCCCTCAGTATAAATTATACCCTTCTATTTTTGAATTATACTGAAAAGTAGAAAATAATTTTACCTAATTTACCTAATTGTTTTATTGACTACTTTATAGTATAGTTTTTATGAGTAGCTACTTCTATTTATGAAATTATTTTTCTAAATTAACTTGTTCTTTTTTCAAAAATTATGTATTTAATTTCTAATTTTTCACCATTTTCTACATCTTAGGAATATGGGATTTAGGATCTTTGAAGTATGTGAAATAATAATGTATAGTTCTTCAATGTACCCACAGTCATACACACTTATAACTTAATTATCATTAATTATAATTTTTAATGAATGTGTAATTGATTAAATTATTTTTAGATTTGATACTTCACGATTTCTGAATAAGATTTTTTTTCTTTTTTAATGAGACTCAAAGTTCAGACATTATATATATATATATATATATATATATATATATATATATATACACCTAAGTCCGTTTTTACACGGAGATTGGTTCCAGAAGAAACCGTGTAAAAAAAGACATTGATCTTATACAAAAATGGGTGATTTGTTCCTAATCTCTAAAACCTATTAAAATGAGTGAAATACAAGAATTTTTAAGAACAAGAATTCATGTTTATTTTATTAAATCAAATATATAATGCTTAGTGCTTTTCACATTTGCTTTGACCAGTAAAAATTGTTTGTACGCGCTAAAGGGGAATTCACTTAAATCTTTAAGCTGGTATTCGCAAACTATCGATACTATCGATGGTTTCAGACTTTTTTCCTTCGTAAATACTTTTTTGTGATATGAACATACTTCGCAAAAATTAAATTTGACAAAAAAAATTTAAGTACATAAAATTTCAAATCGTGCTAAATGGAATAAAATCGTGTAAAAAAATTAAAAATATTCAAATTTCAAACCGTGTTATTTCAAAACCGTGTACAAAAAGACCGTGTAAAAACAGACTTAGGTGTATATATATATATATATCAGCGTTCGAATAATTTATCATTGCCAATCAAAATAAAATATCTTTGAATTTACGCATTGTTCTAGACAAGTCGGACAATAATTTATGATTGCTGAAGTTATTTACTGAAATTATTATTTTCATCTCGACTGAAATTTTTCCATATCTATTTACGCATTTATCCTCACAATAACAATCGTAGTAAAAAGTTATGTGAGTGCCAACAATCACAATAGAGACACATTCTCTACGCAATCCCATTTTAAATATTACATTATTATTACCACGAGTCGTCCTCATGCAGACATAAATGTTGTTTACAACGAGCGTAGAATCTAAGAGCACAATCCTGGATTTTCCGTTTAATAAAATCTTCAATCGAAATCCTTTTTCGTGTGACCTTGTTTTGGCCCCACATAATTCTGTATTCTTCTAACCCATAATCCCATATTACCAGTTTCCCTGATATGTTTGTCGTAGGAAAATGTTGTTGTCCGTTCTTGGTTTGCAACCCGTGTCAAAATTCAAAACGCATATGTGTAGATTGGGTCAGATGAAATAGATTCATGTCGAGGTGGGTTTTCATGTGATTTTATAATTGCATTTTAACTGCATATGCGGGTATACCGTAACTGCACTAAATAAAAAGAGGTGACATAGAGAATATTGGAATCTGACTAAATTTGATGGAAAAATGTGTAAAATCAAACGAATTTTTACGGCAATTTTGGTGAAACCATATTAACTCGACCCCATTCCCGTTTTATTTGCATTTTGTGCTTTTTGGGACTAGAGTTTATTTATTTAGTAATATTATTCAGTGAATATTTAAATTTATTACTTAATTGGTAACAACATAAGTTAAAGAATGAATTTAGATCTAAATTATTATCACAATATTAATGAAAAAATAAACATGGTTTTAATTGAAAATAGTGCCTTCGCGTATACCTGTGCAAACTAGAAATCTTTTACACTTGGTTCAAATTGAAGTTCAATTTACCTGACGTTCTACCACCGGTCAAAGTATTCATAAATATTTAAGTCTAGTAAAAGATTATGTGAATCTCCTAATCCCAAATTTAATTAACATCGAAATGGACATAATAATGTAATTTATTTAAACCGGAACCACTTCCGATTGCGTAACAAGAGGAAAAACACCTGATAGGTATTACTTTGAGGAAAAATACCTGATACGTAAGTGATTAGGGTCGCTATAATCAAATAGTATGTTCGGGTTTAACCTTGTGGTTACGACGTAACAACTTGTGATTATGAGGGTTAACGATAAGAGCACTAATTGTTACCGAATGGAGAATCTTTTGCGCACTTTGTATCGATCTTCTTATTAACGCATTATATAAAACAAGATAAATATGAAATTTACACATAAATTACGCATGATACATAAATTATGCAGTAAAACCCCGTTAAGACGCTGGTGTCTAATACTATCTCTCAAAAAGTACCTCACTGCACATCTGTCTCTGCATTTGAAATCATTTTGTCTCTTTTATGCATAATACGCTTTCTCGCATAATGCGTGTTTTTTTACCGATTCCTTGGATAACGTATTTTTTGTGTAGTGAAGGAAATACATTTAGGCATACCAGGCTAGGTATATTGTCCGGGTATGACTGGCTCAATAACGTCTGAAAATAATACGGACTCTCTTTTTATCTCTTGACTTTTGTTCCGCCGGAAACTTTACGTTAGGCACTACTTTATGGGGGGAGGATCTAGAGTTAATTATACGTTCCTTCTAATTAGTTCCAATAGTTTTTCTTCTTTCCAAAAATTTCAAGTCTATTTACTCTTCGATAACGAAAGTGTGTATATGGCGTTCCACACAGCCTTAGTTGTCAGCACCAATTCTACAACTATGTTTGTATGTGCCTTGTGAGGGCACGCAAAAGTTCTAAATTCCATCCTATTATTATTTAAATTTTCTTTACATTTTTCCAAAATTTATAATCCCTCCACTCCACATTAAATTGATAATATACTCGACCTTCTAGCAAGCACTCTGCGGTGAACACTACCAAATAAATTGCATTTGTAGTAGACTCAGAATTTAATTTACGTTTTCTGTTTAAGTGCTCAGATATATCATACAGTCTTCAACAGCATAAATTATTTCTATTTTATTATCGTGCAGAAAATAGAATAAGTGCATTCATATTTTAGTAGTCTAATGTATAACAACATCTCGTCTAGAATGTTTGATTTCTACATTTATTATCTGCTTTACTTCAATTTGTCTTGGATTTGTTTTATTAGATATTCTTACGACTGTTTTGACCTTATTTCGAAATCGTAATACCTATATGTTTTATACATATTATGTATTAATTGCATAACACATATTATATTAACAAGCAGTCTACAAAATTGAAGATTGTTAACCTCTTACAACTAAGAAAAATAATCTGATATTATAATGCGCAGGATGAAATGATTATTTTGGTTAGCTTGATTTTAAGCACATAGTAGTCATTAAAGTCTAGTTTTGGACAACCTGATATTAGGCAGTAGTGATTTCTACTCATATTTAAAAATATACTTTTAAGCAAAAATAACTCTGCTCGGCATTACTGTAAAAGTATCGGCGTACATATTAGAGTATGTAGTTTAATTAGAAAAAAATAATGCATAAAAAACTTGCATTATTAGAACATATATTTCATGTGTCGATATCATAAAAAACATATTTGTTCATATTTACGACAGGATCTTCATACGTTTGCATGATTTATTTATTGATAATATGAATAATGTTAATATTATGGACTTTCAGGATAAAACAGAGAAGGAACCTAAAACTTTCGTTATAAAACCGATACCATCGACTACGGTGACGCCGGTCCTCGTGTTTATCAACCCGAGAAGTGGAGGCAACCAGGGCGGAAAACTTCTGCAGAAGTTCCAATGGCTTTTGAATCCCAGACAAGTATTCGATCTTACCCAAGGAGGCCCTAAAATGGGGTAAGAAACATTTCTTGTGAATAAACCAGTATGGTACTTAAATTTATTAAAATACTTTTCCATTACTGGAAGTAGAAGAGTTCGTTTTTACTTTTTATGAGATCGTGATATATATATATATATATATATATATATATATATATATATATATATATGTCATTTTGAGAAAGAACTTTGATATTATGAATGATTTATGTACAATCTTGAGTAACTGCATAAACGATTTCCTGTTCAAAAATACACTGGAATTCAATTAAGCAGATTGTCCCAGAACTTGACCTCAAGCTCAGAACTTTATTGTCCTGAAAAAAATTAGAAAGGAAAAATATCTCAAGTTCTTTATAAATTATGAGTTTTTAATTGCAACCTACAGCTTTGGTGAAATTATCACTGGGACCATAATCGTAAATATCATTTCTAGGACTACAGTAAAAAATACCACAATCACATACACTTTTCAAGAATTATGACTTGTTGAACTTTAAGTTTACAATTTTTTAAACTTTGAGAGACTCTCCTTAAAAAAAAGTACTAAAATGTGTTGGCGAGTTTCATAAAAAATTGGCTTATTTAGTCAAGATTGTCTAGCGGTGAAATACTTAATAATTTTGTTATTAAAAATTTTTGAGTAAAAAAAAAAATAAAAACTTCAAACACGATAACGTTTAACGTATTTCGCTCGCTTGGTGCATTTTCATTATTATAGTATATAAATGTAACTCTTTTTTGCTAATTAGAAACATAAAAAGACAAGTTTCTTCTAAGATAATCGTAATGGTATTAATATAATTTATTATTTTAATAAAAATAGAGATAGGAAGTGGATTAATATTCAATGTGTTCTCAATAAAGCTGTTTGTTTTTCTTGGCTGATACCTGTTTACCCAGATAATATTAATATCATTTGTTTTCTTATATCTAATTATTATTTAGGACAGATTCTTATAGATTCCAGAAATACATCATCTAAATATATTCTTCTAATATTGACAATAATTCAGTGTTGACATTGAGAAGGAAATTTGAAGTGTTTTAATTATCTGAAACGATGCCAAAACAACATCGAGTTGCCTCTAAAGTTTTAAATGCCAATGCAGACAAATATCTTGGATTATTGGTAATGTGAATAGAAAATGCGCATTTTGGATATAAGGAATAATTGCAGTATATCTACCAAGGAAACCGTAGTAAAAAAGGAATAAAAATAGTTTTATGCTCAATTTTGTGGACGCTGCAAGATTTATATCTATTAGACCTAGAGTAGGTAAAAATGTTGAATCAGGACGAAGAATAAAATGATGTTTTGGAATGTTTGCATATCCTAATAAAGAGCACGTCTTTCAGTTAGTTGAATTTTGTGGAACTAGAGTAAGAAAATGTTATAAAGAAACTGACATGTAGAAAAAATTAATAAAATGTTTAAGTGTAAGATTGTCCATAATAAATATTACAAATAAATCGATTATTTTCAACAATTCGTGCATCTATATATTATTCTGAACATGCTGAAAAGTCAAGCGTATCATCAAATATACAAATAGTGAATAATTTCTTTTTGAAAATGCATTCTGGCGTAATTCTCTAGCAAGTGGGTTTGGATGATCCTCCGGGCAGCTTTTGTAATTGTCTGAATGTACTCGCATTTCGTCGTTGTTTAATCTGGATTTGTATTACAAACTGTGTATAAGCATTTTAAAACGAACCATCTGCTACTAGTTTGTACAATTTATTGTGATTATTCTATCCATAAACTTGTATCAAAATCCAAGTAACCTAATATTCTGTGTCGGTTTCCTTGCAGGCGCTCCTATTACTAACAATACCGCATTTTGTACCGCTATTAACATTTTCCTCGATATTTATTGCAAGGAAACTTCTGTTCATAAATAACAGTGAACTATATAAAGTTATTACTACCAATAATCGAAATAATATATACTCAATAAAGTCATAAACCGTGCTGATGTTCTAAACTGCCAGTTAGCTGTAAACCATTTCCCTATTGCTATTAATTTCAACGTTAGCTACTATAATAAAGTTTCTGAATTAAAATCACCGCAAGGTTATAAATATTATCTGTTATCATAACTTTGCCGAAGGTATCATTAATCTTGTTTTCACTGCAATATGATACGGTAGTAATTTCATGTCGTCATTAGGACATATTGTTTTCTCTTCAGAAAGTAATTATTACTTGCGATACATGTGCTTCTGATATATATATTATTAGCTTCAGCGTAAAAATAGACAATTATATAAGAGTACTGTATTTCTCGGCTACGCTTCAGCGATTAGGATATAAATATTTTTAATTAATATCAAATAAATTTTTTTTCTATAAATTAATTGCAATTATATTATTATAGTTCAATTTTATCTATTTTTAAATTGATATCTTGAGATTAAAAATAAAAATTTAACTATTGCTCTATCAAATCAAGTAAAAATAAGTTCATAACTATTGTTCTTTATTTCGAAAATAATATTTTTTTTATAAAAGTGCGGTATTACAACATACCCCGTGTTTGAGACTAGTTGTAGCATCTACCTTTCTAGTAACGATGAAAAACGACAATAATATTTTACTAATTCATTATTTACTTACATTCATGAAAATTGACTTGTTTCTAAGTAATTCTTTTCATAAATGAATATAAACTTAAGAAAAAAGAAATTCTTATTACAGATCAATGTAAACTACAATTATACTCATAATAATAATAAAATATGTAGTGACTTCTGCATAATTTACATTTGCCTATATCTTACAATTGTAAGATTAAATTATACATTCCATTACATATCAGACAATTAGATTTTTGCATGTTACTACTACAGCTCCAGGTGTGAAGCTTTTTACCTTAATTAAAAATTTAAACAGATCAGTAATCACAAAAATACACATTATCAAAGATTGATAATATTGAAAGGTAATAAAATACATAAAATTCAAAATTAGTCGATAATAATAACGTAAACCGCAATTTTATGATACTACAATTATATATTACCTCAAAATGATGCAGCTGCACACTTTCGTACATTGTGTGGGCCTGCGGACAGTTGTGATTGCATGATGCAGAGGTATATGTGTTCAATGGAGACAAATAAATATTTTATTATCTTATAATAGCCTATTGAAAAACGCCTCTCAGTACTTACCCTTTTATAAAAATCTTCTATTTCCTGCAACATATAGGTTCCCAAACATGTTTTTGTCTCAAATTTTTTAAATGTCAATGCACATGTGGACCCCTTGAGCTTTAGAGTCCTTTGCTATGGAGCCACTATTTAAATTTTCTACATTTGTGAACTGAATTTAATCCAATTTTTCGTGTATTATGAAGCACTACCACATGGACACACATTTTTGTTTCGTAAACCCCTTGAAAGTTGTCATGCACTCTTGGTGGTCATCTGTACCAGTTTGGAAATCATCACCCTACACGATGAAGATATATTAATTTAACCATAATTGAACATACAGGCTATAGCAAAAATATATAGATTTAAAATAAACTTTTAATAAATCTATGATTCTTCCAGTACACCATACCAGTACTAAAATATACTACTTAATCACTGATATATTACTATACTATATTACTGATATAGGATATATTTGTGATATATATTCACATTCATATATTTATTTTCTTTCCCATATTTCTATTTCAGATTAGAATTATTTCGCAAAGTGCCAAATTTGCGTGTGCTAGCTTGCGGTGGAGACGGCACTGTCGGTTGGGTGCTGTCGGTCCTCGACCAAATCGGCGTTGTGCCGCCTCCGGCTGTCGGCGTCCTACCCCTGGGTACCGGAAACGACCTGGCCAGGGCACTCGGCTGGGGCGGGGTGAGTAAAATATACTACTTTGTTACTAACTAAATTCGTAATCGATAGATTTATAATAGTGGGTTAAATTTCCGGTTTAGAAGATTTATATGCATTTAAAAATCGAACGTTTCACAAGAAATTTATTCTTTCGCTCATAAAAAAAATCAAGGTTTAATTTTAAAATATTTTATAAATTCTAATTTGGTTAAAATTTTATTTTAATTTGTATAAGTGAAAATACTGTACCTACAATGTATACATTTTTGTATTCGCAATCCTGTTAAATTTTCATTTCTAATGAATTTAAACTTAAAAAACAGCATTATTGATACAATGTGATAGTATGATACAATATATATAATTATGTACAAGGTTTTCTACCCTAATGGTACGGATGCTAGCAACGTTTTCGAGAATGAATTTTATGCATGCTGATTTCTCAATATGTGGTCCTTGGTGCTCTTTTGGTCAGAGTCTGGGCTGTTTGGCGGCTTGAAGTGGTTGCGTTTCTTACAATTAGTGCGCAGCCAACTTGCACAGTGCGATTTCAAAATTTTAAAAGCATTATAGTCAGTCAATTTTCATTTTTCTAACTTTGAATAGGTTCAGCAGACTCACATTTTTTGTTGCCGGACATTTTGCTAAATATGTGCCAGACTCCAATTTATTTACTTTTTAACTTCCCGTAGGGTAAGTTATTGTAATGGGCCGAAAATCGGAATTGAAATTTTTTACATTTTTCAACGTTTTGAAGGTTTCTGAACATTTTGGCATACTTCAGAAAAAATGGATGTGTGTGTGTATGTATGTATGGATACAATTTTTCGCCCACGTTTTCGGGCGTACGGATCAACGATTTGAATGGTTCAAAAAACATTCGATTCCTATTAATAAGGAGATGTGCTGATTAGTTTTTGGCAAAGGCAGGTCCAGCAGTTACGGAGATAAATAGCAAAGAGTTCAGAAAATAGAAATCGAGTTTTTGAGAGAACGGAGCATCTGATTTGAATGATCTAAAAACATTCAATTAGTAATGGTTGGGAGAAGTGGTTATTAGTTTTTCGCAAAGACAAGCCCAGCCATTTCGAAGATACGGAGCTAAATGTACAAAAAATGGCAGTTTTTGAGAGAACTAAGCGTCCGATTCAATTGATTTAAAGAACTTTCTGCTTGTCTTAACAAAATAATTGATTTTGGAAAAAAAAATTTGTTTCAATTTTTTTTCTTTTTTTTCTAAATTTTTTGTATATCGAAAATAATTCAGATTTTATTTTTAATTCTGACTATAGTTTTAATATACTTCAAACAAATAATTTCAACTCTGCAATTCAGTTTATATAATTCTTATAAATATTAGACAATGTTACAATATTTATAATAATCTATTTGAAAACATTCAGTATTCTTCGAACATTTCGTTACGGTACGAAAAGTTCCAGCAATTTGCCTTAAAGTACGATGCTACCCACCCCACTAGTTTTTTTTAATTCGAATCATTTTAGCCTGTAATTTTAACATTATGTTCATTAAGGGTGAAAAAAACATAAAATTAATTTGCCAGACGTTTCTGTTGGTTTTTAAGCATGTTATTTGATGGCAAACCGTTATTTGATGAAAACATAAACTTCTTGTTGGGGAAGTTAAAAAACATAAAATTATTAAACTTCCATATTTCGTTGTTTCATTGTCCCTTGGTCAATTTTTATTAAAAGGACCTGCATCTAAAACAAAAAAACTGTTTAACTTAGCATATATTAACTCACGAAACAACAATCTCTATATGCATAATAATAGGATGCAAGACCTCCTAATACCTATCCTCGATTGCGCAATAATTTAGCATCGCGTCAGATACCCGACTGCCGTTAATTGCATTTCAGGTAATGAATGCGTCATAACTAGTTGCGCATCAGTTTACGCTTATGACGCAAAATTAACGGAGGATTCATATAACAATAATGCCGACGGCTAAACACAATGATTTGTTCGAAATAATTAGATCCATATAATCCTAAGCTGTTGCAATACGTGACACGGATCAATATAATAGTCACAGAAAACAGGAATAACAATATTTATATTTAGACTTCAATTTTATTGCGTAAACGGTTAAAATTATATTTAATATAAATCGTGTATCTTTCTTTAATCGATTTTCAAAATTTTCGAATAATTTTAAAGCTATTTTAAACATTTTAATTTTTGGTATGGGAAGTTCCAGCAATTTGCCTTGATAGAAAATGTAGAAATTACTATGTTTAAGCAATACTTTCTAATAGTTCTGAATTATTATTTTTTCAGGGTTACACCGATGAACCAATCAGCAAAATTTTGGCTAACATTGGAGAGAGTGATACAGTTCTACTGGATCGATGGCAGCTAAAAGTCGTCCCAAATACTTCCGCAGAAGCGAACGAAGAAGGCAAAGAAAATCTTCCCTTGAACGTCGTCAATAATTATTTTTCACTCGGAGTGGACGCCCACATCGCCTTAGAATTCCATGAAGCAAGAGGTAATATAATGCATTATCAAGAATATCATATGCGTATGAGAGTAAATTTAACCATAGTGGGTAGTAATAGTTTCATCCGATCAATAGATAATAATTTTCTCGAAGTATAAAGGAGTTTTGTTTATGATATGTGGGAAGCTAGTTTGAAGACATTTAATTGTTGTTTGTGAATTTATTTCAGTGAGTGATCTAGGAAAAAAATATTGGTAATGTATTTATTTCTGAATCACAAGTTTAATAACATATTTGCAAGTTGGCAGTCTTTTTATTTTTCAATTGGTTGTGATATCCGAAATTTGATAAAACACCATTTATAAGGGTAGTCAGATTATTATATTTTAGTTGTTATATACAAGGAATGCTATAGCATCCAACTCTATTACGCTTCTATTTCACGCAATGTTACTAATTTGGGACTAAGGGAAAAGATGATACGATAATATTTAAAGAATTAGTTGTCATTCTGCATCACAATGATAATGAATGCTATAGCATTCACGTCCGCATACGTATTAAACCACCATATTGAATCCTGTAATGAAAGCTAAATTGAATTGATTAAAGATATTAAATGCTACTTAATTTACTTAACTAGTGTTTCTAAAATGTGCTAAATTTTGTATTATTTACCTATTACATTATACCTAATATTTGTTTATCATAATCAAGATTTTTAGTTTTATCACAATTTTTTATTTATTATTTTTAATTTAATATGCGCATGAGAGTAGAGGAAGTTGAGTTTCTTTGCAAGTTGTATCTGATAAATAAAGAGCAATTAACAATTATTTGTGGTCTTGTTCTATATCAAAATAGTTTCTAATTGTACTCCGTAAATGACATTTTTATTCAAAAAAGGCTTATCATAAATGACATTAACAATGATAAATTGTTATGAGAGTTGTATTATTTTTTTCATTTTTATGCTTAATTAGTTACTTATTAAATTATTATATTTCCAGAGGCCAGACCAGAAAAATTCAACTCCAGGTTACGAAATAAAATGTTTTATGGTCAAGCTGGTGGAAAAGACTTGCTTCGGAGAAAATGGAAAGGACTTGCTGAGTTTGTTACTTTAGAATGTGATGGGAAGGATATGACGCCGAAACTTAAGGAGCATAAAGTGCATGCAATTGTATTTCTGAATATACCAAGGTAAAAATAATAATTAAAACTAAGGAGCATAGAGTACAATTTTATTCCTAAATATACTCTAAAATATGTAATATGGATTAATATTTACTTTTAATGAGATGAGTTGTCTAATTTCGACTTTATTCTTTATCCAACAATGACATTTGCATTTTTGCACAGGTTAAAAAATGTATTCTATTAAAAATATCAAAATATCTTGTAGTTTCGCCATTCGAATTTATATAAAGGTATTGAACCGATTGAGCTGCACATATTATTAGATGACATATATGATATACAAAACGTGAAAACTGGCACCACTCTTGGTTCTTGCAAATTTTTTGAATATCCAATATTATATTATAATTATTTTTTTTGAAAATATTTTGATTTGATGAATGCATTGGAATAGTGCATTAATACAAATTAAAGCAGTCTGTTAAACATTTCAAAAATATGAAAATTCTATTATCTCAGCTATGGTGGCGGTACGCATCCTTGGAACAAATCTGGTGGAACCTACGAGCCTATGACTGATGACGGTCTCATAGAAGTCGTTGGCCTTACTACATATCAACTGGTAATATTCTAATCAATATTTCAATTGCAGACATATCATAATATGATGATAGTATAATAATAATGTGTCGAAATTTAGCCTTTGCTCCAAGCCGGAGGACATGGAACGTGCATAACGCAGTGTCGGAGTGCGCGCATCGTCACTTCGAAAACTATTCCGATGCAAGTTGACGGAGAAGCTTGTAAATTGATGCCTTCCATTATACAATTAACTTTATTGAATAGAGCATTGATGTTGGCCAAGCGTAGGCCCGGTAGAACAAATGTTCAGTAAGTAGAATTAGATTATACTATTAATGCTGCAGTTGCTATTAAAATTTTTAGGCTCTAATTCTAACTTCCGATCGTAGACTTTTCGATCATGGATCTGCCATTGTGCAGAATACCTTGTTGTAGTCCACCTGATTCCATAAATTTTAAATTCATGAATATTACCTATAATTTTTTTTTTGATCATGTAGCAAACACAACTAACATGCATAAATAAAATTAGATTAAAAATAAAAATCAAACATAATACTACAATTGGCAAACGATCTGATTGAAAAAAAATATATAATCAAAGGGCAAGTCTAAATTGTAATGAAAACGACTATAAATTTATATTTCATTATTTTTATTTGCATATTTACAGTCAGTATCGATATTTCTCGTATATATTTTTGCTAATAATTTTATTGCAACTATTTTCAGTTGCATTTATTGTACTGTTGTATGCAAAATATAAAACAATATAAATTATACCCATGAGAATATGATTCGTGTTTCGGTAACATTATAAAAATAAATGAGTATTTTTCTTGAATTTTTTTAACTATTTCTTCATCATGATTACTTTTAAGAGTAATTTTCTCAATTTTCTGTCACTTGTATGTTTTTTATGCAATTGTTAACTATAATGTTAACTTGTTAACTATAAATATGTACATTACCCTCTGCTGTGGATACACATATGCTCTTCAGATTATAATGATTTATAGCCGATTTGTAATTACCTATGACATATTTGGTATTAATGTTTATTACTAATCCTAAAATTATTATTATTCGTACAGACAAACAGCTGTTGGAACAATCAGCGTTAATCTGGATCGAATAACCATGACAGATTATGAACAGCATCATTATGATAAAGACCTTCTCAAACAAGCAGGTAATGATAATTAATTTTTGAAAATAAATCGAAAGTATACATAATTAAAGAAATAATTTATATATCAGATATTTCGTGAAACATTCTAATGAGTAATAATAATAGACGAAAAAATTAATGATTTTCATGTAAATTCTTGCAATCTTTTATTTGGTATAGTTTGATTTGTATATTTTATGTATTGTTATTATTTTTTCGCTAATAATAACAAATACAATCATTAATAAATGATTGACTTTAATGCAAATCATTTTATTTGAAAGGTATGAAATTACATATTTTATATTTTGTGTATTTTTTTATTACAGCTGTCAATATGGGATCGATAGAAGTCAGTCATGTAGCAGATTTAGAACAAGTTCGAACACAAATAAATAAACTTCTAGCAGATTCAAGTAATGATTATAAATTATCATCGGACTGGTGTTTTGTTGATTGTAAGTAACTGAGCTAATTTATTAATTGTTTTCTTATATAATAGCTATTTTTTAATTTATTTTTTTATATTATGTCTCTAGATTAGGGTTTATACAAAAACCGACATTTCAGAAAACCGGTTTTCGAGTTTTAATTTTACTAAAAAACCTTACTTTTATTTTTACTAATTCGGTTTTCGAATTTTATATAGAAAATAAATTTTTGCTCGAATATCCTGTAATTTATCCGCAAATCTAGAGTATCTTCAGTATTTGACTGAATTTATTTATTGTTCAATTTTATAGATAATAAACAAAATTATTTTAATTTTAATTAATAGAACTAAAAAATAATAGTTTATTATGATTAAATAACTTCGAAAATAATTATTCGTTATTCATGTATCATTTTCACATATAAGAATGAAAATATTTGAAATTATATGATAGTGAAAGGAGAGTTTTAGAATAAATGAAAATAATGCATTTTTAAATAAAAAACATTCATTGAATTAAAAAAATAAACAAAAATATTAGATATATTAGATATATTAGACTGGTATAGAAATCTAAATTAATATGAACAAAACCTTTCTGGGAACCATTGCAGACTGATAAGATATCAAATGCTATTGAACCGATATGATTTCAAGAATCAAAACGCTTTCATCTATCTTTATTTGGATATATTTAGCATTTTCCATTTCTACAGTGAAAATCTACAATTTTCGCCAAAAAATCGGTTTTTAAAACCAGTTTTTGAAAACCGACAAACCCTACTCTAGATTCATGTAATTATACAGACATGATTTTCAAAAAATAAGTAATATAATTTTATATACAAAACAGGTTTTACGTTTATGTCAATAGTCAGCAACCGAATTTAGTTGTTTTGTCATTGTCTACCATATAGAATAAATTTAAATTATTATAACAAAAATAATAATATGAAATTTTATAACGGTTATGTTTAAAACTCTATAATAAAAGTATTTTATTTCGTTGTTAGTTTTTTTGGTTGTGAGCACTGTTTTTAGGTTTACAAGACCTTGATATAATTTTTAAATGTACGTTATTTAATTCAATTATTTATTCAAAACATGTATTGTTAATTTTAAGTTAGATTCACCAGTTTTTATGAAATCTCATAAAATTGCTCAAATGCGGGTGGGAAAGACCAACATCAAGTTTACTCTAGTTCATCATGCATGTATTTTAAAGATGCAATATAAATAATGATTTACCAATAACCATAATATTTCTATTACCATTGATGAAAAGCTAATTTATCATTATCCTAGTGAATTATAACGTTATTTTCCAGCATGTACAGCCGAAAGATTTTTCCGGGTGGACCGCGCCCAGGAACATTTGCACTATCTAACGGATGTAGCGGCGGAAACTTTATATATTCTGGATTCCGAAACAGGACCCGGTTTGCCCCAGACCCCGGAAGATGAGCTGACGTTCGCATCGGCGATTACGGCTGACAGGGGACCGCTGGCCGGGAGTCTGTCGGAGTCAAGGTACATTGATTTGACTGATATATGTATGATTGGTAGATATATGATTTGTAGTTACATGATTTTGTTAAAGTAAGTAAAGTAAAGTATGCTCAAATATCACTTCAAGATATTGCCTTTAATTGTAATATAAATAAATATTACCTAAAAAATATACTTAAACAATTAAATATTTTATTCAATAATTCAATAGTAAAATATTTCAATAATTTAAATCTTCTGTAATATACTAATTAATAAAATAATTCAGTAATTTAATTCTTGTGTAACAAACTAAATAATATTTAATAATTTGTTTGTATGGGTTACATATCTATTTTGATGAGTTATTATTTTAAATACATAAAGTATAAACACTGATGTATAAATTTTAAAGTATACGTTGCTATAAATTTCGTTTTACGAAAACTGTAGATCATGTCTTCGAGAATTACATATAGTATTAATTTGTGATATAGAAAAGTATACAAAATTTATTTAAATAACTCATGACGGTAACTCGTTTAAAAAGGCTGGTCGCGGGTTCAATCGAAGTGAAAATAGCCCTTCCAGGGCATAGCTTTACCAAAAAAAATAATAAGTCAATCATATTAGATAAACTCTAAGAATGAAGTGATCAAATATGAATGGATCGACCTTTGGATTACCATCTAAAAAAAATACGACGTAAGAAGTTTCAGCCGAACAGCTTATAAAACGTCGACAAAATTAATAAAAAAGATGTTAAAGGAGCAGGCATATTTTTATCAGTTTATAAATACGCATTGCTTTTATTCATAGATAACATTGTACGAAGTTTGTGATTATTATAAAAAAATCTGCCAGTGTTATTAGTCTGACAAACAGAAACTTGTCGAACTTCATAGACTACTACATATAATTACTTCCTAAATTTTAATAATCACAATTCAAACCTCCGCGATTTTATTTACTACCGTTTTCTACTTCAAATGTTATCTTAGCTGCAACATTTGTTAAAGAATTACTAAAAAATTCAATGTTTATTGACATCAGGAAATTTCAAATTAATAATTATATGTTTCGGAAAATTTAAAATTTCTTTTATAATTAATTTTTACAGTAATTGAAATATATCTGAAATTACTGAAAAGATCAATATTTACTAATATAAAGATAGATTCAAAATAAGAATTATTTTTTCAGTAAATTGTAATTTTTTATCAATATCAAATTTATTATTTTTACAATCGTTGAAATATATCCGCTAAAACAATATAACATTGTTTTAAATTATCATTTCATTTATTATATCAATATATTAATGACGATAATTTGTATCCATATATTATTAGATAAAATTCCAAAGTTTGAGCACGCGTCAAAATGAAACTAGTCATATTAGTCATTTTTCTTCAAATTTTCATCAAAAATAATCTTAAAATTAATTAATTAGCTAAAATAATGTCTAAAAAGATCAGAGTTCAAATAAGCTTCTAGTGTCTAATATGAATAGCTCCAGCTTAATAATTTTTTATAACGATTAATATTAATGTATCAGTATCAATTTATTTTCACTATAAATAAAATAAATCTGCTAATACAATATATGATAATCTTTATAATATCTATATAATATTAGTAGACAATTTTGAACTTCGAGTACTCTTAAAAACAAAATTTGTCGCTCACAAACACAAAATTTATCGTATATGAAATTTTTCTGACATTTAAAATTTTTTACAATGAAAATAAATTAATTTCACTCTCAAGACAACAAAAGTTCCAACAAGATGTCAAGTTCATCATCATGTGCTGCCTTAAGTTTTGCGATGCACGTCATAGCTTTATATATTCTTTCTCGTCTAAACCGCCACTACACGTGCCCATATTAACGGAAGCAGTTTATATATTATGCGCATTCGAATTTGCCAAATTCATTGTATGCAGAATATTAAATTTGTTCAAATTATAAGACGAGCCAATGATACTCTTCACTGGTTTCCAAAACTACTAATCGAGTGCATTTTCGCGAAGTATTACCTTGGCTATAGACTAGACTTGGAATGGAGTTTCGGTGACGCTTTTATCTATTGGGGAACTCCTGAAACTGTTGTTAGAACTTTCATGTCAGATCCAGCGAATTATGCAAGTGTTGAAGACTGTATTTTCCAGTCAAACAGCCGCAGGAGATTGTTTGTTGTATTGTGCTATTTAGCAATAATGTGGATGTGTTTTCTCATGTTGCTTATTGTTGGGGAAAGTCATTTTTTCAAGACCGATGCTGAATTGGCGCGCGCCAGATTGAAGTATATCGAAACCCATTTGGATGTGAGGCATTTAATTGAAAGTTAATATAATGTTGAAAATTTCAGGGCGTTGATTTGTTTACTAACAATATTTTAATAGAACATTTTATAGAACAATTTCTTGTGAAATATATGTTTGAAATATGAATGTTTATTTTGTTTTATATATTATATAGGAATTCATTGGTTGATATTTTTACGATCATGCGAGATGTTGAAAGGAACTTTACATGTCAATAAACTACAAGTATATTATGTGCTAATAGTTTTTTTGTGTAATTTTAATTAGTTTGATTAGCTTTATATTATTTGATAATTAGTGATAGATTTCTATAAGAAGCATTTGTATTTTATTTCAATATTTGTGGTATTTATAATGGTATAATATTTATTACAGTGATCTTTTTATCTAAAGTATTCTCCTTCCATAGTCCTTCCCTACTCTTTTCCCATTTTTTGCATTCCATAATGGCGTGCTCTGCATCCGCCATAGTCGCTCCACCCAAAGGCAATATTTAGGTTATAAATGACTAATAGTAATTGATGGAATTAATAATATTAATAACTTAGTGGCCAATTAATAATTATCTGATTTTATAACATAATTTAAAATTTTGTTATATGTTATTAATAAATATCGGCGATAGAATTCTAATATTTTACACTTGCCCATTAATTCACAAACAAATTATAAGTATTTTCAAACTTACATTTTTTTTTAAAGTGATCGTGAATCCAGAGAAGACACTCCACCTTCACCACGAATATTTAGCAGAAACGTATCGAATTCTACGGCGACTCCGGACTCTTTATCTCCCGGAACGCGTAGCCCGGAGCGACAAGCATCTGCCGCCTCTCTTCATTGCTCCACCGGAACAACTGCCGTTCCATTAAGGTTGGCATCGCAAGGATCTCTTGAAGGATCTGCAGGTTCATCACAAGGGTCACAGGATCATGATCATCAGCTGATCACTAGTCCTAGGAATGCCGAATATGAAGGATTGAACTTCAAAAGGTAATTGTAATTTGATAGAAATTTGTTTGTTTTTTTTTTGTTATATTTTGAATTTGATGATTTTATTGAGTGAAAATTATTTTATGCATATGTAGTAAAAAATAACTTTAAAAAATTACAACTTACTCTTATTTTTTTATTACAAAAGTATTACGTTTTAATTCTAAGATACATTCCAATACGTTTTGAAGAATTTTTAAAATATTATTTATTTATATTTTTTCATTATTAATCAGCAAACCGTAATCAATAATGGTAAATTTCATATATCAATAAGTACAAGGTTTTACTTTCACTTACAGTTAGTATTTATTATGCGATGTTTTTTTTACAATATTCTTCGTATGCTTTTCGTGATTCTACAAAATTGTACAAAATTTTTATTGGACAGAAATCTAATATTACACAACTTACTTATTACCCGAGTATGTATTTAATGGCGCATTTACGTTTTTTTTTACGATCGTATTTTCAAATGATTGCAGGCTTGACAAAAGCTTTATTGTTTTATTGAATTACGATTTCTGTGACTTTGCTAAGTTTATGTCTAAATTGCAAAATACATATGGATGTTCTATGTTAAGCCAAAACCATAAAATTTTAATAAATTGAATAATTTTGGAGAGAATAATAAATGATTATAAATATAATCAACGTATCGTAAATAAAATGCAACTTTTCGGGGAGCTTTTATGGTTGATATAGTGAAACCTAATTATCTATTGGTTTAAGAAAATTAAGTAAAATTTAATGCTTAGTAATTCTATTCGTGATTCAGGTTATAATATATGCCATTATTGATAAGAAGGTACTTGAAGTGATATTTGAAAAAATATGAATTTTACCTTCACAATTAATAGGAATATAAAACTTAATGATTAATTAAAATAACTTAAGGTTCAAATTTATTTATTTAAAGTTAGGCCAAATTAATTTTGGGTTATATAAAATTTAAGTAAATTTTTATATATTCAATAATATTATTTTTGATACTAATTATATATGTTATTCTTGCACAAACACTTGACTTGAATAATTCGATAGACGTAATGATCCTTGTTTAAAAATTACGTAATTCATTTTTAAATTAACTCATTATTGTGTCTTAATTTTATTTCATTTTCTTAATATAATTTGCATGCAAATTTTTTCCACGATTTACTAATTTTATGAACAATTAACGTGTGATTGAATTTTTTACACATTTACATTTTAACTGCACAATCTTTGTAGAAGTGTGGTACATTCATTATTATGAAATTTTAACACAGAGAAATTTGTTTTGTTACAACCAAGCTAGTAAATGATATTCTAATCATTTGTGATTTGCATGAAATGTGAGTTTGTCACTGAAATTTTTATTCCTTTCATCTATTTCTACTTTTAACTCTAATCGCATGCAGCTTTCACGAACGATTATTCGGTTTGGGACAAGATACCTATGGGTACAGGTGAGAATTAAAATATTTTTCTGTGTGTTTGTGTAATTTTTTTGAAACATTATTAAATGGTAATCAAATATACGAAGTAATCAATTAATTAATTATATGTTTCATTTTTTTCAGCGGGCTTTTGGAGAAGAATACTGATGGTGTGCTCAAGGCAGCAAAATCTGGTGATATTAATTTGGTATGTGATAGTACAGTTACAAATAAAATTTATTGAAAGTAAATAATTTATGTTCATGATTATTTTTAGCTCAAGGAAATGCATTCACAAGGATATTCATTGTTAACATGCGACTCAACAGGCCAGACTGCCTTACATTATAGTTGCCGATATGGCCATAAAGATGTTGTCAAATTTTTAATATCATATGCACCTACTACAATCATAAATATGTCGGATAATGAAAAGTAAGTAATACAAATTTAAATATAACATTAATGAGGACTAAAACCAATAAGGAATTCTTTGTCTGATATCTTGCAGTAGTTAAACCAATATATGAAATGGTAATGGGAAATCTCCCCTAATTCGAGTTGAAATTTAACTCAGTTGACGAATCTGCCCTAGGCGGTACTACCCATTATTAATTATTGCCAACATAATTTGTTCAGTTTATATAAAATTTACTACAACAGTATTGCTTTATAATTTTCCAATAACCATCAAGTATCCCTCGAACGGGCATTTGAATATTCACTCAATTATTTATTTTTTAGGGGTCAAACAGCATTACATATTGCTGCAGAATTAGGCAGGAGATCAATTTGCTGCTTATTAGTCGCAGGAGGTGCGTCTCCCATATTAAGAGACCAACAAGGACGTACTCCTAAAGCACTGGCTTTATACGCCGATGATGCCGAACTTGCTGCATACCTCGAAAGTAAGTAATATTTAAATTTATTTCGTAATTGTAATGCTTAATTATTTTTTATGCATTTCATATTTTTAATTCCTTCATTTAAACTCACCATGAAACGTGTACAGTGTGCTTTACAACTTTTCTTACCTTGAGAAAAAAATTTAAATCCTTATCTTTGCTGAGAGTACTGACCAAATAATTTTATAAACTGTTATCATAAACTAATAAATTATATCAGAAGTTAGTTCATTGCAAAAAATCGAATGTTTTATAAATATGATGCATTTGATAAATTTCACATATAATCATGATTCCACTTACACTCATACTCATACTCATACTCATACTCATACCTATACTTATACCTATACTTATACAAATAGAAACCAAATTTAAAAAACAAATACAAATTTAAATTAGTTATTATTTAAGTTTATTCAAACATTTCGAACAAATAACAAAGGTAATTTATGGATTAGAATGTTTGTACTAACTGTTCATTCTAAGTCGTCTAAAGTTCTTAAATCATTTCATTTTTGCATGCATTTGTATATTGAAATATATACTAATATAGTTATATTCTACAATGTTTCATAAATTCGTTTCTATAATTTTTATAAATATTCTTAATGCGATTTTCACACATATAACATAATATATGATGACAATAATAATAATAATAATAAATAAATAATAAAAATAATAATAATAATAATATTTTTTTGTAATACTACATTTTCAATGTATTTATAGAAACTTAACGAGATTTGGTGAACCTTCAAATGCATGGGTTTTAATATATTATAACATTTTCAATATTTGAGCCAAATTTAATCTTACATAATTATTATTGTTGATTAGAGCTTGTTTATGAATAAATAAATAAGCAAATAAATAAAAAGGTATTAAAAAAGTTCACATTCGCTTAATGAATTAAAATATTTTCCACGTCATTTGCATACAACTTATTTTATTTTCAAATCGTAGAAATATTTTATGAGCTTAAGGCATATAATAATTTATAATTAATTGCAACTTTCTTGTGAATAAAATAAATAAATAAATGAAAAGTTATAGAAAAAGTCACTTATGTCAAAAACTTTAACCTTAACTTTTTATATGCATGAATTCACATTCGTCTCATAAATCATTAAAAAAAGTATTATTATTAATTCATCATTATAATAGGAATTATTTCATTTATTTGAAATATTTTACACTTTTGCATGATGCATTACATACAAAGTGGCACATATTCTGTAAATATATTTCATCTTTGAATTTTCGAAATCTGAATGTTTGCTGAATGTTCTGTTTGCAATTTATCATTTGTTTTCGTTTTAATTATTTTTCCTGTCAATCATTCATCATCACCATTATTGAAAAAACAATATCACATAGTAGTAATTATTAGTATTGGGTATATATAAATTTCGTGATGAATGTTTGCAGGTCAGGAGCAATTTCACGTCGTCTCCGACGACCACGAGACTGTCGTTTAGCTGAAACATCCGACAAATTACCCAAATAAATTATTGAAATATCCGTAACAAATCTAATATTCAATAATTGATGTGTATTTTTCGTTTCTTCGTCACTAGACTGTGATATTAAACAATTCATCGGAATAACACAATCGGCAAACGTAAAAGGTGGAACAATAGAATTTATATAAGGATAAAACCAGAGCTATTTTCTTATAAAGGAAATAGTGATTTATTACATATTTGAGTAGTTTTATTGTTTCATTTAAAGGCTTAACTTTCTGAATCTCTACATCTCAATTAGTATTTTAAGCTTTGATCAAATTAATATTTCTTCTTGATGCGAAATGAATCTCATTAGTGCTTCTTTATTTGTTATATAAATTCAAATACTATAAGGATTGTAGTATTGAGCACTAATGATGGCTAAAAAATCATCACCTTCATTGCTTTAATATTCTATTATTTAATATAAATTAAAATAAAAATATTTATTATCTAAGCAAGTTTTATCTCGTGATATTTTGTCGATGTTCCAGGCGATTGAATCAGATTTATCTATTTGTTCGAATAATGTAATATAACTATTGATATTAATAATGTAAATAATAAGCCCACAAATTTATTACAACATATCAATTACCTAGTGCTACATTCCATTTTAGTAATTTTAGTAATTCGAAAGCATGTGAATTTCTGAAAGATTGCGATAGAAAGGTGTAAACAGGGTACAAATGCTTTCAATTGTGTAAATATAAAAATATGACGCTGCTAGAATATTTTATTAATACTTATGTATATAAGATTTTTGATAGATATTTAAAAATTAAATTATTTCAGTATTATAAATAAAAATTTAATATTATATACGATTTTAACAATCTTAAACATTTTGCCTAAAAATTTTGATAACCAAGCCATTTCATCTGTTGCCCCCAGATGATCTTTGCTTGAGTTATGGATATATTTGCATTTTGATAATTATTGTCAGAATTTTGTGTTGTGTCAGTAGAAAAATGTGATAAACCCCAATTATCTGTTCAAAGGACTCCAACTTTGCTGATATTTGGTAATAATAGAAATAAAATTAAACCCATCAAAACTTAAACTTCAAACTTATTCTATTCAGGATTGCACTAAATTCTTTCTGTATATCTCCTAAAAATAAATATTATATTTGTGACATAATTTGTACTCATTATCCAAAGTTTTAGGAGCTATACAAGAACATAAAGATATTATAATTTTGTCTAATAAATATCTAAGATATTGATTAGTCATCATAGTGAACTATTTGCACGTTGTTTTAATTTTTATTAATTTGTTTCTCAGTTTTTTTTTTCAATTATACAATTTGCTGACACAACACAAAATAATCGACATTATTCTCTTTTCAACTGAAATCAATTTTAATATGAATAATATTATCGTTTAGTATTTTATGATAAAACTAAAATTATTAAATCATGTAACTTTTATAAAGTGGTTCTTAATAATTAAATAAACTAATTTATATAATATATGACAAACTGTATAATAAATTAGCAAGAAAATTACTTAATAATGTAGTGTTATAGAATTTAGCATCTGACAATCCCACACTTGTAAAAGATTATACTTAAAAATCGTGGTGAATAAAAAATTATAAAATAATCTCATTCAATCGCCTGGATATCAAAATAATGTAAATATATCTAACTATTTATAAGTAGCACCTAATATTTGAAACTCACTATAAATATATATAATAAAAAATATTTATATTTTAGTAAAGTACTATTTAATACAAGAGCGATATTTGACAAGCAATTGATAAATTTAAATCATGTATTGTATTTGTAAAAATAACATAATTTATAAATATTAATATTATATTTCGATTGAGGAATGTAACAAGGGAATCTCGTTATGTGTTTCTTTAATAAATCCGCGCTGTTCCCAGTTACAGGAGCATCAATGGATGGGTCCAATTGACATCATAAATACAATATCCAAAATCAATATTAAGATTTTACTGATGACTTTTCGTAATTTTTAATTTTTCAATAGTCAATGTTGACCTTTGTAGTCTGTTTTCCAAAGATTAATTTAGTTTGTCTTCAGCAGACGTGGCTCCCAATGATAAAATATAACGTAGATGCTAAAATGGCATGGTCAAAATTGATCATGGACAATTTTATCTTCAGTGCTGGATATACGATTTTTTAAATATTATTGTACCCTGTTGTCTCGAATAATTCAATAACAAAATCGAAGTGGGCAACTTGTTTTCTTACATGTAATTAGTAAAAATTGAAACATAGCCATTAATTGAACAAATTTAAAGGATTTTGAGCTTTTGATAGTTATTTCGAGTTTCAGAAACTGTTGGTGAACTAATAATATCAATCAAGTGATTTTTACCCACCAATGTACCCAAATTTTATTTTTTGCTGAAACTATATAGGCATACTGAAAATAGTAGGTTTCAAATGTAAAAATAAAATAGACTAATACCAAGATTATTTATGTTTTTATACGTCAATTTTCTAAAACGTTTATAAATTTACCTCTCATATAATAATACATGTTTAACTTTAATAGATTTCCAAAGGTTTTACGAAACCGTAATTTCAAAAAGGTTTACTCAAAGCCATGAAAAAAAATTTTGAGAGAATATATTGAATAAACCTCAAAATACTTAAATAATAATAAATAAAATTTACTAAATACATATAAGAAAGCAGTTTCCTAATTAATTATTGTAAATATTTTAACACTCTTGAACAAACCTGAAATAATTCACATAATATTTATTCATATTCTAAGAGTAAAAATTTTGCCATTAAAGATGATTGTTTTTTTTTTTTTTATTCTAATTAATATAATAAATATTAAGTATAATATTAGTTAATACAAGCAGAATTATGTCGAGTGTTAAAATATGAGCATAAAAATAATATATATTCACATAAGTTGCTCAAATAAGTGAAACTAATTTTTATGGCACGTTTTGTCCTACTAATATGTAAACTCAAGCAAATGTCTTATGACTTATATATAAATTTATAAATGTCATCAAAGAAACTTATGCACCTAAATATACTTTCAATTTTATATAATTCAAATGTATGATAGTCATATATCCCAATACTTCGATGTTTGAATAAATCCTTAATAATTTTTTAAATATATTTACATAGAATCTAAGTAATTATAAAAAAATAATGGAGATGCCGCATCTCTTATAAAAAGTTTGAATTTCTGGTCTATAAATTTCTCAGCAACAACACCAATACTATATTATATATTTATAAACCAATATTATATTCATATCGAATGCACGTTTGAATAAAGTCTAAGTGAGTCATAATAAAGATAATATATTAGATCTGTAGCTTAATAACTTATAATAAGTATTAATAATTTATTATATGCTTGTCACGTTTCATATATTAGAGCACCCCTTGTTATAAGTTTTAAGGCGTTTTTAATATTTTTCTTAATAATAAATCTGAAGAAAAATTTGCAAATTTGATGCATGATACAGATTTATGGATTTGTCACATATAAGAGTAACACTAATGGTAATAAATGGTTATAACATTATAACAAAATGGTATAAATAACAATCTGATTTGAAGTAAAAGATCTGAGAAAAGACGGTAGCTCATTAGAATTCTTCTCTTCCCAAAATCAGCTCATAATCAGATAGAAACAAATTATTTTTTGATTAGGTATTGATAAATAATTTAAGAAAAATAATGAATGAATATGGGTAAATTTGAAAATTGTGAATGAGTTCAAAAGATTTGATAATTTGGACGTTTGTTAACATATTTTACGACCTCATATATAGGGATAGTTGAGTGGATGTCGTCCATGGACGACATTTGTAAAAGAAGGGTTAAATTTAATTGATGAATAAAATTCTTCAAATTTAAATGATAATATAAAAATGTCAGTAGATCATTAATTTTCCTGTACTATTTGTGAATATTTCAAATTCAAATTGTGTTTTTATATGTGACAAAATCCATGCCTACCAATAAACCATGCATAGCATCTTATCGTTTGTAAATTATCCCATAATCGTTCCTTAAAATTTTTGCCATAAGATGATTATAATTGATTCATATAAATATAACTATTTTTACTAATTCGAATAATCTTTATTGTAACTATATTAAATGTAGTCAAGTATGTGAATCTTTAAAGTTCTCACACTTTTTCAACCAATTTATGAGAAATTATGATAGAACGCTTGGCACTGCAAGCACCAGGGAATTTAAACTAAAACATAATATATTAAATATTCCTTATTACTATCTTGCACACGAAAGTTTAAAAAAACTAAAAGCAAAAGACAGATAATCATAGTGTAGATTTAATAGAGGTTCGTTCTTAAATGTTAATCTATTTTCATACAGACTCCGAAACCTTGAATAACTTTCAAAGATGATTATTTTTGATCAAAAGTTATTACTATAAAAGTATATGTAATTACTGTATAATAAAAAATTGGAACCAAATTCAGAATGGATATATTAAAGCGTTTCAACATTAAAAGAATCAATATATCTAAATTTATAACTGATAAAAATTTTAAAAAACATATTTTACTATTGATATTGTAAAATAAAGAACTTAACAAAAACTTGCGTCTCAGAGTACAGATGAATAAGTACTAAATGATATTTTTGTTAAATACCAATTTTAGCTAAATATTAATTCGATTTCATATAAAATTATAAAAGCAACAATCATGACACATGCTAATTTTAAATTAATTTAAATAGCAATCTTCTTGGATCAAATTTAGTTGATTTTTTATTGAGTGAAATCATGGATTGATAGCTGGTGAATATTTTTTGAAAATTTGTAATAGTTCAATTATCATTGATAAAACGATGTTTTTTTTTAAATACGCTTTAGAAAATTTAAATTTTTTATCGAATAAAATTATTTAGAGCATTTGGATGAACTTATACTGAAATCATTTTGAAAAAATCATTCGGTAAAAATTTTAATTAACGCCACATTTGCGATTGCTTACCAATAAAAAACCAAAATTTTGGAAAAAATTTAACATTTTATAAGCCTCTGAAAATAATCTAATATAATATAATGAATAAAATAAAAATATTAGGTCAAATTCATAAATATTCATTAATTTCTGAGCTTGCTCCAGATAATCTTGACTAATTTATATGACATAAGATACATAAATATTTCAAATTAATTTAGTTCAAAATAATAAATAAA